CGTTCAGAACATACAGGTTTATACAGTGACATGTCTCTACATTTATTCTTCTTTGTTACCAGACCGGTCACCTCGTTGGCATGTCAGACAACATGTACTTAAATGCTCTTTGCAAACTGACTTCTATCCAAGCCTGCCTGTGTGCGCTTACCACACGGGAAAACAGTCTGAGTGTCTCCAGGTCCTCCAGGATGTTGCTGTTCTTGGTGGTGATGAGGACCATGTAGAGCTTCTCCAGTGGCTGGTACACATAGCGAACGCTGTCTGTTTCCACAAAGGTGTGCTGCTTGCCCGTGTTCATCAGTTTAGGAAACGCAGCTAGGAGACCCTCAATCCGTGTCCGGGTCATTTCCACAAACTGCCGCGATACGATGGCCTTGCCGGCCTTGGTGCACACCGCCGCTGCCAACAGCACCTGAGGGGTACAGAGGAATTTCACCACTTTAGTTTCTCACAGACCTGAACTATTACAACTAAAGATGCAGTAATCGGACCAACATCTATGCTCATAATAACAAAAGGGAGGTCAGCAAATGTCAACATTCAATTTTTTTTCCATGTAATATTTTCTTCTTTTATTCCAAAGAAACAAGAAAAAACTAAACAACAAAAAAAAAAACAGAACTGTTTACACTACTGCAGATCTTCATCACACTTACTGAGGATTCATTCATCAGCGGGAAATCTACCACATAGGTACACCGTGACTGCAAACTACTTGGAAACCCTACATCTTAACCTGATGTGCTCCTGCCTAAAAATGTAACGTCACGTTGACACAGCCAGAAACAACTGTGACTGTTCAATACCACCGATCCCTCCTGTGAATTTCTGCTACTTTTTGCTGTAGTCTTTGATTTGATTTATCAATCATCTACATATAAGGAATAATAATCATAGTAAATAAGAACACACGTTTCACCAAATTACAGGAGGAAGATTGACAAAACTATGAGAGTGAACATGAGGAAATGTACAAAGAAGAGGAAAAGCTTCACATTGAAGAGTGGAGACTCAGGAGCAAAAAGTCTTATTTGCTTTCGTCATAGCATATAAAACCCAGGAAACGAGCACAATGTAATTAGCACATAATGCACCAGCACACAAATGCTGATAACATTGGCCACTTGCATAGGTTACATCGTTGGCTCTTCAAATATCCACTGTAGAAGTCTAAGTCAGCCATTATCCAATGCTAGCCTGATGTGGCCTACACTCAGGTAGGACAATATCAGCTGATTCTGATATTTAGCGATACAGTGAAGTCAGAAAAACCAGACAAGAGTACATGTCATTTGATATATTGGTGCTCTCCTGATTACACACGGCTGTAGTTGTTTGAGGACATTACTAAATGCACATGAACTAACCGCTGTTTGCCTTTCTCTTAGGTGAGCGTGTCTTACTGGTGCAGATGTTAGCACAATGGAAATGATCTTATCGTTTAATATAATGAGTATAACAATGGTTGACATAAACGGACGCTTTACGTGGCTGTGCTAAATGACTGGAGGAACTGCATTGATTACACGTTGACAATAGAAATGGAAGAGCCGATCGCACCGATGTGAACTCGATAAAGACGCGCAGCAACTGGTTATCGAAGTCATCGACACTAGCTAACTATAATAACACAGTTGTACGGATAGTTGGGGTATGTCGCAGAGCCGGGGTCGGTTTAACCTGGCTTATTACAATCTGACAGCAGGCAGTGGTTGCACGGATCCGGCTACTGACAGGAGACAACTAGCGCTAGCCCGCAAAGCTAGTTCACGTCAGCACGGACTGCACAGCTAAAGCGCTTCACTCAGGTGAAATTCAACTTTGACGACTCATTTACTCGATTTTAGCACCTGAACATGTCGCTATCACTGTGGCTCCGATAAAAAAGCACCGTTTATTAATTGTCTTCTTTCGTTCATGAGGGGGGGAGAAGCTAGTTTGCTCATACCTAGCTTTAGCTACTAGCCAATGTTATGATAGCTCCTAGGCCCGATAAAAGGCAGGGAAATAATGGTCACTTTCGACTGTCACTCACCATTGTGGTCTCTCTCTACGGCACGACGGTCGTCAGTCTCTCGCGTTTCTTGCTTTGGTGATTCCTCGTCCCTCTGGAATAGCAAGGTGCGAATATACAGCTGACTTCTAGTTGTGTGATTGTTAGCTAGTTAGCGTCAATATGGCAGCAGCACAGAGCCACGTCTCCACCGGAAGAGCCGCGCTGGATCAGCCCACCGTGGAAACCAATGACGTGGGCCCCCAAATGTTGGCCTTGTTGCATAAAGAAGTTACTCAGATTACTTCCACCAGCGTTTCTTCTTCTTCTTCTTCAGACTTCTGACTACTGACCACAAATTACCTCCACGCGATTACTTTTAACGTTTATCAGCGTATCAATAACCTGGCAAACACACAAATATTAATAATATTCAGAGAGGTTGTCAGAGTAGTTCTGAGTGATAGCGTTTCACGTCTGATGGGGCTGGTCTCCGGGATGAAAATGTCTTCACCCACAGAGCACACAGGGGGTCGTATAAAAAAGAATGATATGCCACAGTCCTCAGTGCAGGCAGCGCTCTCCACCACCATCGTCAAAACACCAAATTCATCCCATCTGTGTGTCCGTGATGTGAACACGTCACAGTCTAATGCAACATATGATACAATTAGTCTTTTCTCTTTGTTGTCCTCCTTACGTTCTTTATGTTACATTTTAACCCTTAATTGTAAACATAAATATTCTCGTTGGGCATTTATCACCGGACGGGGGGCAACGAACTAACGATGGCTGTGAAGCGTGTGAGGAATGTAACTAACATGTTTAACAAAGTCAGATATATTATGGAATTGAATGTTGTCTTTTAAGTTTAAGTTACAAAAATGTTGAATTCTGTTTATTATTATTATTATTATTATTATTATTATTATTATTATTATTATCAAAGAAAGAAAAGTAAACATACTCCAACAATCCATCCTTCTGCTTTTCCAGTTCCACGACTAAGCTGAAGCTTATTCCAGTTCTGATGGGTGAGGGTACCCTGTCACAGGGCTAACACACAGACAGACAACATTCACACGTACAATCAATTTCCAACTTCCTGTTAGCAGGTGTGATTGTGCATGGACAATAAAGAGTTATCTGATTAAACTAACCTGTGCATGTCTTTGGACTGTGGGATTAATGCCCAGACAGAAGATTAATTACTGGAGATAATTAATAAATTATTAAACATATAGAAGAAGAAAATTGCCTTTCATTAGCATGTTTTATTTGGTTAATATTAACATAATATTAACCAAATCACCTTGAATCACCTTGTTGTTGAATTGTGCTATACAAATAAATTTGCCTTGCCTTGCCTAATATTATTCACTTATATTTGATATTAATTAGTATGTTAATATTTTGATCACGTAGTGAAAAGAATACAGACTTCTTTATTTGCATGGGGGATGAGTGTAGCAGGAAATATTTTAGTTTATGGAAAATAATGGGTTTGATAGCTTATAGATGAGGTAGAACATTTTAAGCAGACAGTTTGAGCATCCATCCATTCGCTTCCGCTGATCCTTTTCAGGGTCGCGGGGGGCGCTGGAGCCTATCCCAGCTGTCATAGGGCGAGAGGCGGGGTACACCCTGGACAGGTCGCCAGTCTGTCGCAGGGCCAACACATAGGGACAGACAACCATTCGCACTCTCATTCACTCCCACATTCACAGCTAGTGGCAATTTGGATTATCCAATTAACCTATTCCCACAAGCTGCCGGTCTTTGGACGGTGGGAGGAAGTCGGAGTACCCGGAGGGAACCCACGCAAACACGGGGAGAACATGCAAACTCCACACAGAAAGACCCCGGCTTGATGGTGGAATTGAACTCAGGCAATAGTGCTAACCACTGTGCCACCGTGCTGCAGTTTGAGCAGACAGTATTTTTTATTTAATGTAAATGCACACGTAAGCAAGATGCTGGTGGCAGGAACACTTTAAGATATTCAGAATGTTCTTAGGGACATAAATCCAACATTCATATGGGAATACTGTTTACATGTTTGTCATGCACAATGCCTGTGGCTCGGGCGGTAGAGCAGGTCCTCTACCAGTCAGAAGGTTGGTAGTTTGATCCTTGCCTGCTCTTTTCTTCAGTCTGCATACCTGAGTATCTTTGGACGTGATACTGCTGTCTGATTGCGTCACTGGAGTGTGAACACATCGATGCGTCTTTCACCCAGGGGGAGGGGAAATGGTTCTCATTTTAGACTCCTAGCACGAAAAACTGCACACGTCACAGTGTTGCAGTAACTTATTTTGGTCACTAGGTGTCGCCATTTTAAAAAAGGAAGAGGAACGCGCGATCCTGTATTTATCTCACTGCGGAGGATGTTGGTTTTTTCAATCAACAGATTGTTCCATTAAATTATACAATAACAACGTAAGAATATGCGTGTAATATATTTACTCCCAGTCCTGCCTCCGACATTGTGAATTCACTGACGCACTGGATAAGCCTACAGGTGTGTATGGTAGTTGGCATAAAAGTCCAAAGTTGACAGACAGGTTTTTATGGCCACGTCGTCAGATCACAAAAACATGACACAAGACGTCAGCTTTTAAAGTAATCATTTTAATACTACCGGCGGATATTTAGCAGCCGGAAGTCAATTATTGCGCTTTCCCTTCAATAACAATTTTGTTTCTTTTAAACTTCCAACATAGTCACACTTGAAGTCGTGGATGTGAGCACCCACGCCCGCAGAAGCAGAAAGGACAGGCGGGACCAGGAAATGACCTCTAGCCGGTCCGATGACATCATAGCCACCACGCTCATTCATACGCGGAGCTGTTTGAGACGAGTGCTCGGAGCTCATCCAGGAGTTTAGGTGTCTCTAATAGTCTCTGTGTCCAGAAAAACACGCTGCTGATTCGCGCAACACCGGCGGAGTCAACCGAATCACCGACATGTCGGAAGAAGCTAGTTCTCAGGTAGGTTTTCTTCACTGTTCTGTCAGACTTGCTGCTCATTCAGCGTTCACGCGTTGTGCGTAAACTTCGTCATCACGTAGGGCTCGTTGATTGGCTGACGTTTGTGCTTGTCTGCGGATTCTGCTCTCCATTGGACAGGGGGCGGTGTCAAACGTGACAGACAGTAGCTGTAAAAAGCTAAACGTTTTAGTTTGATTTGGGAAGGTTAAGATCAGCGTTGGTTAGAAGCAGGCCGCCAAACAGAGTGCTGGCACCGAAACACTGAACGCTAACCTTACAGGCTGCCTGCTTGTTCATTTGCTAGCGTTAGAGTTCAGCGTGTTAGCTATAGACACCGAAAAACCCCACCGCCACTGTTTTCCCCTCTCAGACTGAAGTCACTCTGATACTGAGTTCACTTAAGCTTTTATATTCCTCCCTCGTGAAATGGGCAGCACTGATTTTGCTCCTGCCTCAGAGTTACCTTGATACACTTGGAGGTGAACGCATTTAAAAGTTCAGCATTTTATTAAAATGACACTTAGCTGTTATGTTACTGGTGCCGAATGGATGTTTGCCACCTGCTAACATCGGCTACACTATAACAGGTATGTTTCTAAAGGCGCTGAGTAAATACATGACAAATTAATCGATTTTTGGACGCAGTTTTCGGACAGACGGCTGGAAATTCAGTCTTTGTTTTACCCTTCGTAATACCCAGGGTTATGTCTGAGACGTGCACGGGTCAGGTGAAAAATAAATGAGTAAAAAGAAAGAAAATGTTACAAATAATTCAGATTTAATAGTAAGAATAATAATTTAACGATGTAATCTGCATGTAGCACGCACAGAAATGAGTGAATTATCAGTTATTTTCATTAATAATTAAAACGTGTATAATAAGTCATCTAGTCAAAAACAAACAGTCAAATCAAACATCTGGTGTGCTGTTGAAGTTATCATTTATTTTTATTAAACAACATTTTTAGTTTTAAACTACAGCATATTAGCAAATACAGAAATACTCCCGTAAGTATTACTTTGTTTTACTCGGCCACTGCTATTAAACTGCAGGCCAAGTCTGACCAGGATCACAAGGAAATAAAGACTTGCAGTGACGCGTTTAAGATCAGTCTTTACTCTGAGCAGTGTTTGCATCTTTGCATTTATTTCAGCCTTGTGTGTCCCTGATTAAAAACAGCCAGCAGTGTTATCTGGATATTTCTGTTTGAAGAGGAACGTTTCCACTCACACTCTTCCCTGTGACCACACCCTGTAACCAGGACCCTCCTAAACTGCCTTTTGTAACGGACTCATTGAAAAGACACACTTATCTGTGGGAACCAGAGATACTAGAGGTGGAGGTCCTTAGTGGGGGAGGAGTCAGCTGGGTCCAGTAAGAAAGGACACTGTTTAGTATCAAGAGGCTATATGACCTCAGCAAAGCTCCTTACCAGGACGCAGCAGTCAGTCCCAGACACACAGCGCACACAATAGCCTCTACAGTGCAGAAGCTCAGTGTGGATCATGGAGGAAGGACCTTACAAGTACATCAGGGTGAGGCCAGCAGAGAGGGATCATTCATTCGTATTTTAAGTCAGAAAGTGTAACTGTGTTGTGCTGATTGAACATATGAGGAATACATCTCGGAAGCGAGCGAGTGTTTGTAAAATCTTGTGGCTGATCTGGTTTTATGTTCCGGCAGGATGGAAATGGCAAAGTTAGCCGAGTCATTCGAGTGGGAACCCGCAAGAGCCAGGTGAGTATTACATTATTATCCAATCAGGAGCTTCAAATTCAGGCAGGTTTGACTCTAATGTAAAGCTGAACTTACAGATCCCGAGTGTCGGTTGTGAATTATCTGATTTGAAAGCCGCCTGGACCTCCTTTCCACAGAGATAAAACAATCCTGCCTGACGAGTGTGTTTTTATGATAACTGTCTGTCATCTGCTCTGTTCTGCTGATTTAATACGTGTGAAAGGACAGTGAATGCAATGAGTTGATCTTCTGTTGCAGCTGGCTCGCATCCAGACGGACAGCGTGGCCGAGACGTTGAAAGAGCTGTACCCTGACATCCACTTAGAAATCGGTAAGAAGGCAGCCCCTCTGTCTGTGCAGCGTTTCTGCTCTGTCTCCATGTTTCTGTTCAGAGTGAATGGATTACACACATGTTCTTACAGCTTAAGTCTTAAAATTGAGTCTGAATCTGTCCACGCTGTCACTCCATCCTCACCGCACTGAACACACTGAAGTTCGTGTCTTTGTTCAAAGCAGCTGGTGACCTCGTGTGTTTCCAGAAAACGTCACTGAACCTGAACGCGAGCAGCAGTCCAGTTAGACTGTTCCTGCGCTTTTAGCCACAGATGGAAACTAAAAACCAGGAATTATTGAAAAAAGTAAATCCATCGTATTACATAGAACAAGCAGTGATTTTGAATATATCGTCCTATTAAAAGGCGGCGTGCACTGATAGCGATTTTGATTGGCCCAGAATATTACCATGTGTAAAATGCCAGTTTTATTCTTCTTTTTTAATTCTGATTAAAATAAAAAGGAATAAAGAGGAATGGTAACTTTTTAGAAAACAGTAACTAAAACGTTAAAAAGTATTTTAGTGTTTGCAGACAGTCAGCCCACTTTCATGTTCAGTACTTTCTCCTGGGTTTTTTCTTTTTCTGGAGACTGAACCAACACAAAACGGATGCAGCAGTCTTTATATGGATCTGCACATTTAATCGATACCACCACCTGTAAGTCTGCTACCAAATTCAGCAACTCTACTTTTTCTGTTGTCGTCCACCCTCCCACTGCAAGAAGTCAGCATTAAAGCTGTTCAGCAGGAACAAAATGGCTTTACATGATGTCCAAATATTGCATAAATGCCTGCTGCTTAGTGCTCACAGGGATCCGTCTCAGGAGGGAGAGCCAGTATTTTTCAGGTTTTTGATGCTTAGAAAAAAGTTCTCAAATTTGAGGATTTGAAACTTATTCCTAGAAGCTAAATTACCAACAGCACCATTGTGTAGACAAACAGGATTAATGGCAACATTTTGTGTCTTTACATTTGTTACTAGTTTCCAGTCCGTTGCCTTAGACGGTGCGTTCACTGCCCTGTCTTATAGGGTGGGAAAAGTGCAGCATGAGTTACTGTCGGCTTGTCTCATGATCTAATCTTTTGTGTTCCAGTTGCCATGTCAACAACAGGAGACAAAATCCTCGATACTGCTTTGTCAAAGGTAAGGCTTCCAGGAAGTGTAACGGACATGACTGCTGCCACCTACACAGTCTTGTCAGCGCTGACATGAGCTCACTGCTTCATGAGCAACAGTGCAGACCAAACACTGCATGGAGGTTCTTGATAAATGTGAAGCAGTTAATGGGAATCTGTCTCCTGCAGATTGGTGAGAAGAGCTTGTTCACCAAAGAGCTGGAGAATGCACTGGAGAGGAATGAGTAAGTGTGACCTCTGACACTGCTTCACACTTCCTTCCTATTTTCTCTTCTTCAGAAGCGCTCAGCTCGAATAGTTACTCAGCAGCCTGTAAAATGTGCACATTTTAATGGTTAAAAGAAGAAGCAGCCTAATACCAGTATAGGAACCTGCTAGTTTCAAGAGTTTTGCAACAGAAAATACAGAAAAGCTGTGTGGTGTTAGTCCACTGGAGCATGTGAAGTGCATGCAGAGCCTCAGATGTAGCAGGTGGGCTCTGGTTGCTGCGTAAATGGCTGCATTGTGGAGCTCATACATGCGAGTGCATATCCTGTGTGTGCTTCAGGGTCGACCTGGTTGTTCACTCCCTCAAAGACCTTCCCACCACTCTGCCTCCGGGGTTCACCATCGGAGCTGTGCTGAAGTGAGTCACTCACACACTTCTGACTCTTACAGTTACTTTGGATGCATTTACTCTTTTCAGGACAATTTCAGTGCACCCGGCACCTCGTGGTCTTCACACGGGTAATCGAATACGTTCTGCTCTTAGATAACCTTTTATGACTCCGAGGCTCCACTTCATGCTTTTGATTCACAGGATGAAGGGTATAGTACAAGGGGCCCAATCCCAGTCTTCGAGAGCTACTGTCCTGCAGCTTTTAGATGCGTCCCTACTCCAGCACAGCCAAATCAAATGGTTTGATTACCTCTTCAGCATGCCATCAAGTTTGGCAAAGGCCTGATAACAAGCCATTCATTTGATTGAGGTGTGTCAGAACAAAGATGCATCTAAAAGCTGCAGGACGGTAACTCTCGGGGACTGGGCACCCCTGGTGTAGTGTGTGCAGTTACACTGTGCCAGTTTAAAATCGATGAAAAACAAGTTATTTCGAGGATTAGGTGTACCAAAGGTGCCACGCAGTGTGCGGAGCACCAGCTCGTCCTTTGTTGGGACAATAAGTCAAATAATGCTTGGGGTCATAGATCGTTGCAGCATTTGTGGTTGTGATCTGTGCGTCTTACAGGAGAGAAAACCCCCACGATGCAGTGGTCCTCCATCCGAGCCATGCAGGGAAGACTCTGGACATGCTGCCAGAGAACAGGTGCAGTCAGAGGGACCTGATCGATGCATTCTTATATCTGCTTACACTTTCCTCACGGCTAACACACTCGACTTCATTTGTGCAGTGTGATTGGCACCAGCTCGCTGCGCCGAGCTGCTCAGCTGAAGAAGAGGTTCCCCCACCTGGACTTCAAAGACATCGTATCCTTCCTGAGAGCAGTCGCGCTGTTCCTGTGTTTATCAGCTGTTTGCACAGAGGAAACCAGCTCCCCATACACACAACTTTCTGCTGTCTCAACACCATAATGGCTAATTAGAAGGACAATAATTACCTGGATGTTACTACACCACAAGCAGCCATAATCTTCTGGGTAAATGATCATTTTCTCACGTGTGGTTACTGTGTAGTGTTAGCGAATACTATTTTTATTACAGACGCTGGAGTGCAGGTCACAAACACTCACAAACTGGTTTTGACTATTGTGTGAACAGAGTCGGGCTAAACAAGTACACACAAAGAGGCCAAGCTAGAGGCTAACATCAGCTGATGTTTAGGAAATCTATCCAGCTGCTAACAGTCCCAAACTGTGATCACACTGCACTTGTGTTGATGATGATGACGGCCATTATCCAGTGGGTTTTGAGTGGGCAGTTTCTGGGTTTGGTGGGCGTTTCCTGAGCTGCAGTGTTCAGCGTGGGAACCTGAATACACGGCTGAAGAAGCTGGATGAGAAGAATGACTTTGCCGCCATTATCCTGGCGGCTGCCGGCCTCAGAAGGATGGGCTGGGAAAGCCGCATCAGCCAGGTACACTGTGTGGTTATATGCAGCATGTGGGTGGCACTTCTAGTCTTACAGTGTGATTCTTTCCCCCTGGTAGATCCTGGAGCCCGACGACTGTATGTATGCTGTGGGACAGGTAGGAACTGCCGAGTGGAAAGGTCAGGAATCCACAGGACAGGTGGTTGTTCATGGCTCCCAATAAGGTGCATGTGTGTTTTTAAGGGGGCCCTGGCAGTGGAGGTTCGGGCCAGAGATGCAGACATCCTAGAGATGGTGTCCATCCTTCATGACCCTGACACTGTGCTGCGCTGCATAGCTGAAAGAGCCTTCCTCAGACGCCTGGTACGTACACACACACACACACACACACACACACACACTTGTGTGAATCTGTGATGACTCTATCATTTATTTGTGTGTTATTTTTGCAGGAGGGTGGCTGTAGTGTCCCAGTGGCTGTGCACACCCAAGTAAAGGACTCCCAGGTAAGAGTGTTAGTGACTGTGGCTCAGCACTGTTATACATCGTGCTCTTGTTAGCTACAGATCCAGCCCTGTACACACTTTATCTGCCACTCGTAGCAGCTGTGGGAGTATTTCCTGCCACTCTGCTGTGTCTCAACAGACTATTGGCACCAAGTGACAAATACTCATATTTTATACTAATGGCCACAAGTATCAATAATAAATGGTAAATAGCGCTTTACTCGTCCCTAAGGACCCCAAAGCGCTTTACACAACCAGTCATCCACCCATTCACACACTGGTGATGGCAGCTACATTGTAGCCACAGCCACCCTGGGGCGCACTGACAGAGGCGAGGCTGCCGGACACTGGCGCCACCGGACCCTCTGACCACCACCAGTAGGCAACGGGTGAAGTGTCTTGCCCAAGGACAAATCGACTGGGACTGTCCAAGCCGGGGCTCGAACCGGCAACCTTCCGATTACAAGGCGAACTCCCAACTCTTGAGCCACGATCGCCCCTAATACACAAGTGATGATATCAAACAGCTGCTATGGTTCCTGCTCAGTTTAACTCATCAAAGAAAACTGCTCTGTTGTATCTGCTGTGGCTTCACAGTTTTAGGTTCTGTTGATGCAGTGGCGTGCTTCAGGTCACAGCTGATGGGCGCTGCATGCTGGGCCTCAGGAGGCTTCTGCAAGATGACTGAACTATAAATGCAGGGATATGATAATCAGAAGTTTAACTGTGACTGATCACTATCCTTAAATCATTAGCAGTCGCATGAATATGGAGACAAACCAAGTCCTGTACTGGTACCTATTTGATTCTGCAGCAGCGGCCCGCTCTCATCTGATTTTAAAAGCTTGTTGTTTGAACGTGTGAGTAACCCGGAGAAATCCTGTATGTTTTTGCAGCTGTACCTGACGGGGGCGGTATACAGTCTGGATGGCTCAAACAGCCTGAAGGAAACCATGCAGGTCAGCATCGCTGTGGGGACCCAGGTAAGAGCTGCGTGCATTGTGTTTCTGCCACGTTACCTTCGTTGCACATAGGAACCTGTTTTCATAATAACGTGCGTTTCTGCCACAGAGCTCAGAAAAGGTGGACGAGCAGGTCCAGCGAGTGGGAGTCACGGCCAACAAGATCCCAGGTAGCGTCCAGGACGAGGCCGAGAAGCTCGGCGTCGACCTGGCCGACTTACTGCTCAGCAAAGGAGCCAAGGAGATCCTGACGGTGGCCCGGCAACTCAATGACGTCAGATAGGTCTTCCTGGCTGACAGCGGGGCTCCAGAGCATGCAGGCAGTCGCAACCTGAGCTCCATCTAATGTTGGTCTGCTGACTGTTTGCTGCATGAGGTCAGGACCTGTGGTCAGGGTTGTAGAAAGCTGCTAAACTGGCTGCTATTATCCGCTCACTGAGAGTCCCCGCTGTCTCGGTTCCTGTGCGTTCTCACGCAGAGAACCTCATGGAACCTGAGCCACGTTCAGTAAGAAACACGCAGTGGCCTTCAGACGTTGTTGTCAACACTTAACAGCACCAGTGCTGGCTGATATCAGTCTGTCAGTACTGCCTTCGTCTAATCATTTGTTCCCAAAGCTCAGACCGTTTCATCCACATCTGCTGTCGTAACTCACACAGCATCTTCTCGTTTCGACGGTGCCAAAGACGAGCGCTGTTCATTAAGGCGGACTGTCTGCAAAATTTCAGTTCACGCTTATCTTCACTTTGGCACACCCATTTGTTGCCATCATGAAAGAAGAGGTGACATCCAGCTGTGGAGGTCTGCTTGCTTCCTCATTAGCAGAGAGAGCATATTTGATCCACACACTGGGCTTCAGGAGTGCGTTCTTTAACACTGGTAGTAATGCACATGTGGCGTGTGTGTGGGTTTTAATATGACTGCAGCTCCAGTGCCTGCACGTTTTCACTGTCCTGCTCTGATTCTTAAAGCATGCACTGTGGTCTTTTGTAGTGCTTTGCTGGCCACAGGGATGCACTGATATCCATACTGTACTCACTGATGTGTGTCAGAGATTGACATTTCTGTTTTCTCACATTAGTCGACGTTCAGTGATGGTGTGATGCGGAGCTGTAAGTTCAAGGAGAATAACAAAACGACACAAAGGAAGCTTCCTGTATGAGCTCTCAGACAGGCCAGTGCATCCCTGCTGGAAGCCGATGATGGGGATGAACTGTGAGCTTCATTCCTGTGAGCGATGCTTGAAGACTCCCCAAAGCTGGACACGCATCATCAACAAGAAAACACACGTGATTAGAAAAGTTCCCAGTTTTTGTCATGATGAAGACTCATGCTGTGGTGACGGCCTTCGTCCTGTTACGTTGTTCTGACTTTCTGGATTTAGATCATTATGTAATATTGACAGTAGATTGATTATTAGAGCACCTCTGTTATATTTATGGAGTCTGTATGTCACGATCACTTTAAGTATCTGAAAGCTGATGAGTTGGTTTGAAGGTTTTACTGATCAGGACTCATCAGCTCACAGACGTCAGGTTAGCGGCACATAGAAGGTTTACGCTGCAACATGCTGTACCCCCCCCCCCCTCCTCATATATCACAATGTGTTAATGATTTTTACTGTGATTGTTTAAGTATTATCTCATTTTGCCTACAAACTGCACACCTGCCTTACATGCAGCAGTCTTCACTCTGCATCATATATCCAGTGTTCATGGAATTCAATGTTCTTTTTCTAGGTTTTTGTTGCATATCTAATTTAAACCTCCTGAGACAATGAGAGGTCATGTTAGCCATATTTGTTTTCAGCTTTAATTTCTTTATAACATAGAAGACTGTTGTACTCAGTAATTTTCCCACAGCGCCGACTGTTCAAAACAAAAGGTCGTCATCAAGAAGCAATAAAGTTACTGTGCTGTGAAAAAGTATTTGCTCCTTCTTATTTTTTTATTATGCACATTTCAGGTCATCAGATACATTTTAATATTAGACAATGATAACTCGAGTAAATGCAAAATGCAGTTTTTAAATGTTACTTTATTAATGGGGAAAAGTAACAAGTTCAGTGTTATCAGCCACGACCAGGTCTTATTAATGTCTCACGTGAAAGGTGACGATCTCACAGAGCGACGTGCTGTGGCCCAATCTAAAGAAACAGCCAAGGAACATGATGACGGACATCTATCAGCCTGACAGGATTTACAGGCCCACCAGCGGCTCACCAAAATTACATTAAGAGTGCGTCAATGAATTATCAAGCAGGTCACAACAGACCCATAACTCCAACGATCTCTCCACTGCATATGTGACGGGGTGGACGGATAGTCCAACATAAAGGCTCGTCTCCCAAAAAACCACCTTGATGATGAATGAATGTTGGACAGAGCACAGAAACAAGTGTTTGGGTGAATGTTGTGTGAAGTGCTCAGAGGAAGAACCAGAACGTTTAACTTTGGGAGAAATTCTGTGCACTGACGAGGCAAAAGCAGAACCTTTGTGGGACACAAACATCTGGAATAAAAGTAACGCAGCATTTCAGAAAAGAGACATCAGAGGTGAGGATCAGAGGATTCCCAACCATTGTTGGATGTTTGGGGTTTTCTTGAATCGCGGATGGGAGCATGGGATGAATTAAACTGGACTCCGATTCTGCATCTGTACTGGGAGCATGCTGTTTTCAGCTGCCCACTGTGAGGAACTGTGACGTGGCCTAAACCTGTAAGCAGCTGTTTTAGAGAAGGACTAGAAACATGTACAACTTTACATGTTGCACTTCACTGTATCCCAGCAACTAAACTCTGAATGAAAGCAGGCGTCAGAGTTTTTACATCTTTACACTGACATATAATTCAATTCAATTTAATTCAATTTTATTTATATAGCGCCAAATCACAACATAAGTCGCCTCAAGGCGCTTCATAGATACAGAGAAAAACCCAACAATCATATGACCCCTATGAGCAGCACTTTGGCGACAGTGGGAAGGAAAAACTCCCTTTTAACAGGAAGAAACCTCCGGCAGAACCAGGCTCAGGGAGGGGCGGGGCCATCTGCTGTGATTGGTTGGGGTGAGAGAAGGAAGACAGGATAAAGACATGCTGTGGAAGAGAGACAGAGGTTAATAACAGATATGATTCAATGCAGAGAGGTCTGTTAATACATAGTGAGTGAGAAAGGTGACTGGAAAGGAAAAACTCAATGCATCATGGGAATCCCCCGGCAGCCTACGTCTATTGCAGCATAACTAAGGGAGGATTCAGGGTCACCTGGTCCAGCCCTAACTATATGCTTTAGAAGCCTAATCTTGAAAGTAGAGATAGTGTCTGTCTCCTGAATCCAAACTGGAAGCTGGTTCCACAGAAGAGGGGCCTGAAAACTGAAGGCTCTGCCTCCCATTCTACTTTTAAATACTCTAGGAACAACAAGTAGGCCTGCAGAGCGAGAGCGAAGTGCTCTAATAGGGTGATATGGTACTACAAGGTCATTAAGATAAGATGGGGCCTGATTATTTAAGACCTTGTATGTGAGGAGCAGGATTTTGAATTCAATTCTGGATTTAACAGGAAGCCAATGAAGGGAAGCCAAAACAGGAGAAATCTGCTCTCTCTTTCTAGTCCCTGTCAGGACTCTTGCTGCAGCATTTTGGATTAGCTGAAGGCTTTTCAGGAGTTTTTTGGACATCCTGATAATAATGAATTACAGTCGTCCAGCCTGGAAGTAATAAATGCATGAACTAGTTTTTCAGCGTCACTCTGAGACAGGATATTTCTAATTTTAGAGATGTTGCGCAAATGGAAGAACGCAGTCTTACATATTTGTTTAATATGTGCATTGAAGGACATGTCCTGGTCAAAAATGACTCCAAGGTTCCTCACAGCGTTACTGGAGGCCAAGGTAATGCCATCCAGAGTAAGAATCTGGTTAGATACCATATTTCTAAGATTTTCAGGGCCGAGTACAATAACCTCAGTTTTATCTGAATTAAGAAGCAGAAAGTTAGCGGCCATCCAGGTCTTTATGTCTTTAAGACATTCCTGCAGTTTAACTAATTGGTGTGTGTTATCTGGCTTCATGGACAGATAGAGCTGGGTGTCATCTGCATAGCAGTGAAAATGTATGCTATGTCTTCTAATGATACTGCCTAAGGGAAGCATGTATAATGTAAACAGAATTGGTCCTAGCACTGAACCCTGTGGAACTCCATAATTAACCTCAGTGTGTGAAGAGGACTCTCCATTTACATGCACAAACTGGAGTCTATTAGATAGATATGATACAAACCACTGCAGTGCAGTACCTGTAATACCTACAAATGTGTAGAAATGAGGACGGGGTGAAGGGCGTGCTAACTGAGAAGGAGGCAAGTATTTCCTACTTGAAATCGGTCTAAAGATGCTAAACCTTCTGTGTGTTGTGAAACATTGGATAATCTCACAATGAGTCCGTTATGAAATTAGTGCCTTTGGCTACTCAAAATATATGTCAGTGATTCCTGAGATTAGGGACAAAACAGGTTTTAATTTTCTAAAATATATTTTTTGATTTTTCAAAAACATATTTACATATAGTTGTTACACAAAGTTGTGGCTGTCTCACCATGTTTTGGTCTCCCAGGTGTAAGATGTTTTAATAATTTATGTTTTTGCTGGAGAAGTGCAAGGTTTTTGTCAACACCATCAGACACAAAGAAATGCAAAAATATATATTTTAAATGAAGTTGTTTCAGCTATTTTGACTATTAGCAGCTTCTCTGTTCTACTGTTTATGCACATATGTTTTCAAACTAATTATACCACATTACCACATAACATTATTAGAGTTACAGTCATACATATTTTCAGAAGCTTGTATTTAATCTCTATAAGAAACAATCATATTTAGCAGCATGCAAATTACACATTTATTGAGAAAGTTGCGTATTTTTATTGGAAGATCATGAGGGAGGAAAATATATGGTTCTCCAAAAGAGAAAAATAAACAAAAACTCCATATTATGGAGTTGACAAGGTACTGACGGTGGTGACACACTAGTAGAAAGCAAGATATTATTTCTTTCAAAATGACCATTAAACCTTAACAACCTTTGTAATATCACAAGACACATCATAACAATTCTGTTTTTGCACACGTCAAGTTCTGCATCTTAATAGTTCACCAGCAAGCAGCTGCCTGCTCCTGATTCCTAAAGTACTCTGTGGTTGTGTTTAGACGCTGCTGGACTTTCTCTCCTTTTGTCTCTGTGCTTGTTTCCAAAACCTTCTCTTCTGCCTTTTTTCTTTCTTTATTTTTCCCTCTTTCACTCTCTTTCTCCATCTTTCCCTTTATGAGAAAGTCTTTCTTCAACTCAGACTGGCTGTAAATTTTTTCTCCTTTTTTGATCGTCCCTGTTCCTTCTCTTTCGTTCCTCTGACAGCTTCCCCTTTGCCATTCTAGCCTGAAATGTACCATCTTGTAATTACTATAATCTTTCTGAACCATATGCATTTATACAGATTAAGGATGAATATTCACAACACAATTATGTATTAAGCAATAATCCAGGTTGAAACTCGGCTGCAGATCCCAAAGTCAAAGGAGCTCTGCGGCATCACTGAGAGTTACAAACTGTCTAAATTCTTTCATCTTTAATAAAATGATCAGTGAGTTAGAAGTTAGCTCGCTGGTTTCCTCCTACATTCCAACATGAATGAAGACAGAAAACTAAACAGCAGTGACGTTTGTAGGGTTACTGAAGTTGGGCTAGCTGCTATATAGTGATGTGCTACGTGATTGCTAACGACACAGCTATGTTAGCATAAACACAGTGAAGCTGGAGGATGAACGCTAACTTTTTTCCACCAGATAAAAGTTAATGCAGCGTTTCTGATGGTTAGGCCAACAGTGATCACTGACTGTTTTTAGGGGCTTGTTCAGATTAAATAGAACAAGATAAAAAGCATTAAAACATTTTAGCAGCACAACAGGCTTAATAAACACAGAGTAGTTTGGGTGCGGAAGCAGGATTCATACATCAGCACTTAAAGACCAGCTCTCGGGGCAGAGATAGCTCAGTAGATGCCACATGATTAGAAGGTTGAATGTTCAAATCCAATGAATAGTGGCTATCCTGGATTGGTAGCTGCCCACTGCATGAATGAGTGAATGGGTTAAATGCAGAGGACTAAGCCTTACAGGATTAATAATGTATACATAAACAATGAGATTCAGGATATGGCAAATTCGATAATATTCGACACATCTGTAAAGCAGAAATATCAGTGAAATACACAGGAAGTAATATAACTGAAATATTAATAAAAATAACTTAATATGAATATGAATGATGAATAGTACACTTTCTGTCAACACCATTAGAAAAAGGGTCAACACCGTCAGACAAAAATCCTGATGGTGTTGACAAAATACCCAACTTTCTCTCAAAACACATGTTTTTCTGACAGAAGCCATCTTGTTTTTCATCAGCTGCTTACGGCCTCTACAGTCTACCTAAATGAAGCTCTTTTCACAAAAACAATAATTAAATCTTGCATTTCATCGACTTTGGTGTTGACGCACTGTGGTTGTGACACAGTTTTAAAGGTGTGTCACAAATGAAATAAAAATAAAAAGACCTCATGGCATGACTATCAAACAGGAAGTGGTAAAGGGGTCCTCAGAGTGTAAGCTGCCCACAATAATTCCCAAGTTTTTTGTACTTTTAAAAAAATCAGATGGTGTTGAGAAAAACTCTGGACATGATTTTAATCACTTAAAAAATAAGTAAAAATAAAATTTCAATTGCATATTTTGATATTATATAAGGTAAATGCTTAGTGACGAGAGCCGTGATGTTTAATTTTACATTACTTTTCTTTTTTTTTTCTGTATTTTAATATTATCACACCTGCTTCGGGAGAATGGATTTTTAAGGTACTGGTAATAAATTGTACCATTTAAAATAAATATATATGTATAAAAAATGCTAAATCATACTTTTGTTGTGTAAACATTGCCTTGGTTTGTCTCTTTGTCAGTTGGGTTAACACTTGTATGCATATTTTTAACCCCCAAAATTGGGTTTTATCTGGCGAACATGTTTTGTCCCTTATCTCAAGAATCACCGACCTATTATATATCTATAATATATTTATAGCCCTGTGATGTTGTATTTGAGCAATTCTCTTTCTCAGATCTCACTTAGTAAAGGCACATTTAATGTTAAAGGCACTTTTCATTCGGATAAATCGTATCACTTTATAATAATGTCACACTATTAATCATTAGTCAGGTATTAGTAAGTTTGTAATTCATGATTTTTATGCCATCACTCTTCCTTAGTATGCCATTTTTAAATACAGACTTATCACTATGACTATAATTATGACTGTGGTTATTGCGAGCAGCGCTGATAGCTGTAAATGCTGTAACAGATTGGCAAACATGCCTGTATTTATGAATGACATACTAAGGAGGAGTCATGACATATATATGATGTATTAAGTGCTTACTAATACCTGACTAATGCTTAATTGTGTGACATTGTCATAAAGTGCTACCGTGTGAGTAGCACCACCGTGCTATTGCTACCACCGTATGAGAGCTCAGCGGCATTATTAAATAAATAAATTCAATTCAAAAGTAACTTTGACATTTTTGGTGTCTTCGGTGCACAAGAAGGTAAACTTGGTCCATCCTGATTGAAACGCTGTGACCGGCTCAGTTTGTCCACACGTTCCAAATTCTGTTTGGCAGTTTTTGAACGTTTGGGTGTAAAAGCAGCCACGTTCAGTCTAGTCCCTGAGGCTCTCTGTCTTTCACCTGTTAGATGACTTTCTACATGTTGATCTTCCGCTCGGTATTTCTGCTGTTGTGCCAAAAAGGGATTTTAGGTATTTGCCTACAAACGACTGCCCATATTTAAACTGCTGTGAATGACTTATTAGACTACAGTCTGTCAAACGTGTATCCTAGGAGGGACGTCAAGTTATTCTGTGACTTAATATTTACCTGGTAGCACTTGACAATAATGTCACACCTGTAAGGTGCTGTTTTCATTCACTGACGATGTGAATGTAAGTCCAGAGCGCAGCGTCTAAGACACATTTCACTCAGAGCTCCAAATGGATACCTGCTGGTGGTGCGAGAACAAACGAACAAAAACCTCCCGATATATTATCTTGGAAACATAAACAGTGCCATTCTGTGGTGTCTACATTTCGTGGGAGTTTGCTGTGGAAGATTTGGGTTTGACGGAAAAGCGGCAGGATTAGTCCCTAGGATGTAGGATGTGATCCGAAGGGCCAGCTCTGTTCTGCCCTCTGGACCCAGTGGAGGTGGTGAGTGACAGGAGAACGGCGGCTAAGCTGTCATCCCTG